TTAGACGGTTTCAGGGTGAAGGGGGCCTCCCCGTCCCGGTTGCGGGCTCACCTCCGTGGCTCCTGGAGTTCCCAGCCGACCGCACTCGGCGCGCTGTCAACCGTCAGCTGACCATCGCCCTGCTTTCACAGCCGGAAGATCCGCTTCAGCAGATTCGCCCGCTTCTTTCCTCTTTCCTAGCACCTTGTAGAAAGTTTCTCGGTGTAAATGTACCCTATTTCAATACTACCTGAGTCGAATCATTTAAAAAGTGTAAGAAGGTGTGTTTCTACCGTTATTGTGCATTTCGGAGACGGCGCAGAGGTCACTGTCGTGACGAAAGTGCAGCGGCGAAGCACGAACCCCGCTCCGGCAGACCGGAAACGGAAGGGCGGTGCCTCGGGGTGGGCGTGAACCGCCTCTCAGAGCGCATGCGCGCCCGCCGGGATGGCGGGTGAGGATTGGAGGGTTGGCGGCGCGGGCGGAGAGCTCCGGGCCTGGCTTTGGGCGGGAATTCAAACCGCCGCTGTTGCGGACGAGAGCCTGGGAGCTGCAGGTTTCCAGCTTCAGAGGGGACCATGGTGCGGCCTGCGAGGTGAGCGGTTCCTGTCAGGCGGGGGTGGTGGGGGAGGAGCAGGAGGACGCTGTAGGCTCGTCACCTGCGCGGGACTGAGGGGAAGGCCGGCGGCGAGGCGAGCGCCGGTGGGGCCGGGCCGTCGGTCCAGGGAAACGCTCCGGCCTCCAGTGAGAGCCTCCCACGGCTCAGAGGGGGCCTGGCACCCTAGCTGTCTCCTTTTCTGGGCGCCCTTGGCGGTTACTGCCGTTTCTTCCACCCGCCGTCCTTCAAATAAGGCCTGGTCACAGCGCTTTGCAGCGCACCAGGCTCCCTCCTGCGTGTTCATTGTTCATCACCATAGTTTCTTGACGTAGAAAGTTCAGGTCTTCCCTTTATATCTATTTAAACTGCTAGGGACGAGAGCCAGTGGGCCCGAGTCACACCGCCGGTAAGTGACAGGGTAACACGCAAACCCAAGTCAGCTGGCGCCGCATCCCCTGCGTTTTCCCGTTAAGTGTACTCTTAGAGACTATTCCTCCACTAACCGCCGTCGAGAACCGTGGAGGCCTAGGGTCCGCCGTTGGTGTAGTAGAGTTCTGAGATAGTGTTTCTAATGTGCTGTGCCAGGTGCCGGAGGTTCCATTCTAGCCAAGGGGTCAGGTTGGGGGTCTGAAAGTATACATGGCAAGTGAGAGAGAGTGAGGAGGCGAAAAGCCCTGCTTAAAGTAGGGTGGTTCGGACAGGACTCTCCCGGAAGGTAATGCAGGAGCTGAGACAGGGATGAGTGGCAAACTGGGTCACTCACATTTGGGTATTTGGCAGAAGATAAAAATGAAAACGGGAGTAGAGTTCATTTAGGACCTAGGGGAGAATGACTTTATTTTATTCACTTGAAATATCACTTTCTTTTAGCGCCCCCTAAAGTAGAGTGCAGATTCGTTTCAGATGGCGAGTGCTAAGTCACTCACTATGTTTTTAGTGTCCACTGCATAAAGAACATGATTTCATATTGTGGGAGAGAAAAGAAAATGGCTTTCCGTATCAAGAAGTTCATGATCTGAGAAGACAGAATGCACTTATAAATAAGAGAACACATAAAACAGGAACTGAAAAATTCCCGACAGTAATTAAACATAAATTGTAAACATTATATTGATTTATTCTTACTTTGTGTGTTACCTGAAGCAGTTTTTTTCCTAATCAGGTATATCAAGATAATTATACGTTTTTCAGCTAATGTTAAATCCTTGCTATAGAATGCAAATCAGGTTTTTAATTTATATATTCTTAAGAGAATCTAAACAGATTTTTATTTACTCAAGACTAATAATGGCCTTAAGGAATGGAGGTGAGGAATGGACATTCGCATAAATGAAAATTTCTGTCTTGGTCACAGGCATAAGAAGCCAGTCGATTACTCACAGTTTGAGGACTCTGACAGTGATGGTAAGTGGAGCGTCCTATTTCTGCTTTAAAGATTTGGAAATTTATTTCCTCACAATTTATAGACTATTTATATGTAATGCATGTATATATTTATGGCTAAAATAGTGAACATATTACCCAATTGTAGATGAGTAGGTCTGGAAAAATAATTTTCTAAGCATTTGGGATAATTATACTGATCATTACACTGACAAGGATTATTGGCATACGTGATAAACAAACAAGACCAGGTGAAATGGCTTTTTAGGTCTCAACTCCCCTAGGTCCACATTTCTTGGAGTGAGATTATGTCCTCGCCCCTTCCCCCAAGAATAACACACTGTCTTTTTAAGACCCAAATGTGTTACAGAATATAATATGAAATCCCCATTAATCGTACAATAAAACAAGACCTTGAAGAAAGCTTAGGCTTAAGCTGTACCCTGTTGAGTTGTACATTTACTTGTCTCTGCTATTTAGAGAACTTTGGTCAAAAAGTTTGAGAAACATTGTGTTAGATTACCGTATGCTTAAAAGTAGGTTTTGTGTTTCTTTCTTAGACCACCAGAGTTTTCCATGAGTTAGATATCTAGTAAGTCCTCAGTGTGAAGGAATCTGTTTTTTGCCTTGAGTACAGCCTTACGTGTGCCTAAGACTTGGGGGAAAATAGCATAGACTGTAACGTCTAGCTTCTTGTTACTGTAATCAGCCTGTCACTAAATATTTATAAATTGCTGGTCGTTTTGTGGAGACTGGGGTGGAAGTGGAGGCGAGTCACAGGTTATTGTGTTCCCACGTGAGGGAGCATAAAAGAGACAACACGTGCTAACAAACGCCAAAGTCTGTGATTAAGACTGTGTGCACCTTGAAGGCAGACACGTGTCAGGTATGAGTGTAAAAGCTGTCACAGCAATTTGGTGTTGCATGTCAGCAGCAGAAGTACATCAGCTCTGAGGCTTGGGGGCAGGAAAACCTGTGAGGACAGAATGGACTGGAAAAGAACATCCCTTTGCCAAAAAGTGAAGTTCCCATGGGGAGCTCCTAGGAAGGCCTGTGTGGTAATGGAAGAGAAACACTGCTGGGCTGAAGTCCTGAGTAGGAACCGCCTTCTCTCCCTCCAAGTTCTGATGCTTCTGACTTTTCTTAGTGTGGTTAAAGTGCTAGAAATAGGACATGGGCCTTTGAAGAAGATGTTTGGCTAGGTTATGAAGTTTTCATAAAAATCATTTTCTTCCACTTTTTAATATGATAAAATTATAGAGGAAATTTTAGTAATTTTTCTACTGTTTTTAGAGGTTTTTAATTACTCCTTTGTTTTCTTTGACACTTATATACACTAGCCTAGGTTTTCAGGGAATTGGTTTTTGATGGATTGATATTTTAAAAAATAAAGGCCACTTAAACAAAGTTGGACAGCCTGGGTGAGGATAAAGAAAGACAATATGCCAATGGTATTTTTTAAATTGTGGAGAGCAAACAATTTGCTTACTTTTCAAATTTGAACACACATCATAATGAATCTCAATTACCAAGAAAGTAATTTTATTTATTTCTTCCTAAGGAAAAGCAATTTCTTATATTTTTTTAATTTTAATTCACACACAAATAGATGATTTTGTTCCTGCAACCACACCGTTAAATAAGAAATCCAAAATGACACAAAAGGAGTTAAAATTAGAAAAACCAGAACCTAAACTGAAGAATCTCCAGAAAAAAGACATCCCACTGCAGGAGAAAACCCCCCAAAAAAGGTGAGAGGTAAGACATACGGTTACTATACGACAGTAGATGTGTTAACTTGCAGGAGAGGCAGATTCAAACTCTTGGTTTCAGTTAGAGCTTGAGCAGGACCCTTGGTCTTATTTTACTTTGTGCACGTAGGAGAGCAGGGGTGCGCATTGGTCCCCTTCTGAAATGAACTTCGTAAAGTTCACAAATACGCAGGGAAATGCCCGTTTAACTATTAAGGCAGTCATAATTATCTAGCTTAGAAGGTATAACTTGCTTTTACAAGACCTAGCACCTGTCTGAAATCCTTAGGTCTTACAAGACTACTTTGTCAAAAATTACATTTGTAAAGACAGTTTTATAAAACCCAGGACCACACGTCTGTGTGATATGATGGATATTCACTGAAATTTCGTGATGTATGTGAGTCGAACTGAAGGCTGTGAACCTGTGGCTTACACAGTGCTGCATGTCAGCTATGTCTCAGTAAAACTGTAAGGAAAAAATAAACTTTAAAACCGGGTATTTTTCTACAGATGAAAAATATTTTCTCTTTACCTCACTGAGATTTGTCCAGCAGCGAGCAGGCCCTGTAGACTGGCCCTGGAGCTCCGTGAGTTAGTACCAGCAGAGAGGGGAAATGAGGGAAGGGGGTCCTGAGAAGCCCACACTTGTGGGACGGGGAGGAGGGGACAGAAGAGGGACACTGACAGATGGAGCAGAGGACTCGTGACGCTTGACTGCTGCAAGCGTGAGGAAAGTTAACTAACATAGAGAAACTCACTGCCGTCATTCTCTTTACTCTTTTCTTCCTTGTTTTTGTTTTTGAGCCTCTTGTACTACATTTAAAATAGAGTTTAAAAAGAAACAAAAAACAGCAGACGGGAGAAAATATTTGCAAATCATATAACCTCTAAGGGACTTGTATCCAGAATATATAGAGAACTCTTATGATTCAACCATAAAAAGACTAATGACCCAATTTAAAAAGGGGCAAAGGACTTGAATAGACATTTCTCTAAAGAAGGAATAGAAATGGCCCATACGCACGCGAAGAGGTGCTCCGCATCCTCAGCCTTCAGGGAGATACAAGTCCAGACCTCGGCGAGATGGTGATGTCACACCCACTAGGGTGGCTGTAATCAAACAGGCAGACAAAGTGAGCGCTGAGGAGAAAGTGGAGGACCTGAAACGTTCATGCCTTGCTGCTGGGTGTGGAAAACCGTGCAGCCACATTGGAAAACAGAGTAGCCATTTGTCAAAACGTTAAACGGACCCAACCTAGGTATGTCCCCAAAAGGAATGTGCCACACAGAAACCTGCACGTGAGTACTCACAGGAGCATTGTTCCTTATAGGCAAAAAGTGGAAGTAATCCTGATGTCTCCCAGCTGATGAACGGATAAGTAAAATGTGGTATATCCCTGTAGTGGAATATTACTCAGCAATAAAAAGGAATGAAGTACTGATATATATATATATATATATTACAACATGGCCAAACCTTGAATACATCTTGGTGAGAAAAGAAGCCAGACAAAAAAGGCCATGTATTGTGTGTTTCCATTACTATTTATATCCAGAACAGACAAGGCCACAGAAGCAGAATGATTAGTGGTTGCCAGGTGTCAGGAAGGGGAAAACGGGGAGTGACTGCTAACGGGTCTGAGGTTTCATTCCAGGGTGATGAAAATGTTCTGAAATTAGACAGTGGGGATGGTTTCAGAGCTCTGTCAGCATACTAAAACCTGCTGAATTGTATGCTTCGTATGCTTTATGCAGTGTGACTTATATCTCAGTAAAACTGTTATTTTAAAAAATAAATCCTTCAAGGTGCCTCTTGGTATTCCCTCCTTGATGTAACCTGTTATCTGTCTTTGCTTTCTCTTCCTCTGACACACCCTAGCACTTTTGACCACCTTGAGTAGGAGACATGATAGTCTGTTTATATGGGATAATTTTAAGTATGAATTATTTTCCCACCTCCTCATTAGTTACTGACTTTTTGAGGGCACTTTTCATATCCTGTCTGCTGTGGTGCCTCATGCACAGTAAGCACTTGCTAAAATATTTGCTAGAGTCCAGTTGGGAGAAAGAGATATTAAAAAAAGTAATTTCAATTTAATTTAAGAGCTGTAACAGCTGTCTGAGGTGGTGTGGGTGAGGCCCAGGAAGCTCTCCAAGTGGAAGTGACACTGGAGCCCAGTCTGTTCTCAGTCTAGTGGGCGCCTCCCCCTGGCCGGAGCCGGTGCTGAAGAGGGGACGCACAGTGAGGGCCCAGGAGGCGCAGGGCACGAGCTGCTTCTGGTTCAGATCTGTTCTGCTGGGTAGAGCCCGGCCCTGTTAGATTTCAGGAGGCTTAACGTTGAAAGTCAGTTAGGATCATGCTCACTGACCATTTTTCTGAGATGAGCAGCTCTTTGATGGCACTCGAGGGAGCTCTCACAGTTGGCTGTTTAGTTGAGATTGGTAGTTGACAAGCTCATCATTATTTGTGTGTCTGTTTCAGGATGGCTTTAGATGACAAGCTGTACCAGAGGGACTTAGAGGTTGCCCTCGCTTTGTCCGTGAAGGAACTTCCGACTGGCACCACTGATGTGGAGGAGTCTCGAGATAAAAGTAACTTTGTTTAACACTCTGGATGACAAGAGGGGCGCTTTGCAGAGGGCAGAGTTGGGTCCAGTTGTTGATTCAGCTGGGTAAATCTCATCCGCACGTAAATACCCCTCTGGCTGGCACTCAGAGCGAACTGGAGGACGTGGACTGTGACCTTTGGTGTCCAAATTTTATCTGTGTATGCAGTAAAAATTTAATTTCTTGATCAAATAAATTGACCTGTACATCCTAACAATTCACCTCCTTTCTCTCCAAATTCAACTTAGCTAAACATGATCTAATGATGGTAAATTTTGTTGTTTACAAAGGTTAAAGGTAATAATTTGGTTAGCAAGCTCAGATTCATGACTTCAACTTTCTCTGTGGATTTTTCCCCTTTGATTTTTCTGGCAACTAAGCAGCAGTTGGTAATATTGACATTCTGGAGGGGCAGAAAGCATAGTTACTGGAAAAGACATTCAAACTGCTAGAATGCTTTTCCGATTAAATTGCTTTGGCCTGACTTCTTTTATGTTGGAGGACGTTTTTAGCCTGTTAGCTTGTTTAGGGGTACAGATGTTTAAGTCAGTATTGCCTCCTGTTTGAAAATAAATGCTGTAGTGTTGACAAGGGGACTTTTTAGTAATTGGGAATCAAAGAAACTCAAAAAGAGAATTGTCATATATCTGAAATTGAGGATAAAAATCTCTCTCCTATAAAAGATTGTGGACTATATAGGGTTTCCTTGGAAGTACCACTACTCAGAGGGTAATGTACTCTGTAGCCCTGGAATTTAATAGTACCAATTATTATGACTTAAAGTCCTCTTAAAATACTCTAGATCACTGTAAACTTATAATCATGGTTGAAGAGTCTTTATGTTAGTAAAAGCGCAGATCTGCCTACACAGAAATGATAGTTAATATTTATTTACTGTTTGCTGTGTGCTGGGCACTTCAATAAGCAGTTTCCACATTCAGTCAACATTTAATCCCCCCTGGTCCTCTCATTTCATCCTCACACTGTTTTTATTTCCACATTTTACGTGAGGAAATCAGGTTTTACAGAGGATAGGCTATTTTTCCATGGTCATGTGGCCAACTTAAGTGGTAGAGCTTGTATTTGAGCTTCAGCCTGATTAAGTCTCTGTGATTTCAGGGCCAACACCCCTAACCATGTGCTCACCCCTCCACGTGAGATCACTGTGCTGTTTGATCCCTTGTCTGCGGCTCCAGGCTTTTAGGTTTTAGCACTTGTGCTCCTGTTTGTTGACACTGGTTGATTAAGTGCATCTGAATCCTCTTGCTTCCATCTAGGCACTGATAGATGTGGCAACGAGGCAGAAACAGTGACCAAGTCCCCTCATCTCTCCAACTGCAGTGTAGCTAGTGATTATCTAGGTAAGTGTTGGATGTTAATAGTAATATTTATTTTTTTCCATCAATAATGCTATTTTTCTAATTTTTATTTAAACTCCCGAACCTGTAAGTAGAACTCCAGGGCCTTTACATTTGTGACGTCTCTCTGCTCCTCTTCTCCTTCATTTCTTTATGTTTTAGTTTTCCTGTTTCACTGCAGACCTCCTTTCTTCCCTGAGAGGGGGTCATGACCACCCAGGGCTTCTAGTTGACAGCAGTTGAGCAAGTCCGAGACCCAAACTGAGTCTTTCAATACCTATAAATATGGTTATATTCTTGTATTTGTACTGGAGTGTACAAATGACACTAAAAAGTAATAAATACATTTTGTCTAAAAAAAAAAAGACTCAATTTGGGTCTCGGACTTGTGCTCAACCCAGACCGTGCTGCTGGGAGACTGATGTCTCACACCTGGCCCGGGCTGGCTGTGTGGCCTGCTCCTAGAGGCACGGCAGGGGTGAAGCCAGCCCAATAAAAACAGCAGACGGAACAGAGGTCTGCCCTGCAGTTCTTTAGATGTCACCTGTCACAAAAAGTCTCACTGATGTTCTTATCTGAAGATCTGGATAAGATTACCGAGGAGGAGGATGCTCGAGGTGTTCGAGGGAGAAGAAGGGCAGCATCTCGAGCAGTGGTCCAGCAGAGGAGCATTCTGTCAGAGGGCAGTGATGGCAGTGGTGCCGATGACTCCGAACCAGACTTTGCAACTGGTGAGTTATGTCCTTGCTCAAGATAGCCCTGTGGAGACGCAGCGATGAGCTCTTGGAGACATTAATGTGTGCAAGACACTGTGCATCACAGTATGAAATGTGTAATGTGGGGAATACAGTTAGTAACTAATATCCTTGTGTAGTGACATCACAACTAGCTTTATCATGGGGGCCGTTCTGAAATTTGTGGAAGTGTTGAGACATGGTGTTGTGTAACAGGAACTGACACAGTATCGTAGATCAGTTATACTTTAAGACAAACAAACTTGTAGAAAAAGAGATCAGGTTTGTGGTGACCAGAGGTGGGGGGAGGGAGAACTGGATGAAGGCAGTCAAAAGGTACAGACTGCCAGTTGTGAGATAAGTAAGTTCTAGGGACATCATGTACGACGTGATAAATATAATGAACAGTGTGGTTTGTTATCTATGAAAGTTGTTAAGAGAGTAAATCCTAAGATTTCTTATCACAAGGACAAATTTTATTTTCTGTTTCTTTAATTTTGTACCTGTATGCGGTGATGGGTGTTCACTAAACTTAGTGCGTTAATCACTTCATGATGCATGTAAGTCAGATCATTACACTGTGCCCCTTAACCTTAAACGGTGCTGTGCCTCAGTGCTATCTCAATAAAACTGGGAGGGAAAAAGAAAAAGGCAGAAACACAGAGTCCAGTGAGGCCTGCAGGGGAGGGAGAATGAGGTAAGGCTGAAGAGGCCCCTTGCCACTGGATCATGGAGGGTCTTAGACCCATTCTAAGAAGTGTAGAGTTTTTTTCCACAAGTGGTAGAAATTCATGAAACATTTTGAGGTAGAAATCATATGAAACCTATATTTTATTATGATAGTTGTTTTCAGACTCATTCAAAAATTAGGGCAAGTGAGGGGCATACATCATGATACATCAATTTAAAATTAAAATGAATAAACCCGTAAGTTTATGCTGTCAGACACTACATTTTGATAGATTTTAACATGCTGGTGACAAACAATAATAGATTTGTTTCCCACATTTATTCAACAGATACCTGGGTACTTACCATGGACACTGTGTTCTAGACGCTAGGGCCGTGGCAGTGGACAAACTGAACAGAGCCCCTGTCCTCACGGAGCTAAAACTCACACGAGAGGACACAGACAATACATACTTGAGGTGTCAATCTGTAATAGTAGATACTTCAAAGTTCGTAGGTTCTGAGAAGTATCCTTTATCTCCTCGTGGACTAAATGACTGTTTTTTTTTCCCCAGCCTCACTTTTTAGAACAGAGGTGAAGTGTGTAGTCTTGTGTTTCAGGTGAAGAGTCTGAGGATGATTCTGATTTTAGTGAGAGTGGAGATGATGAGGCCTTCACAATGAGAAAGAGTAAAGGTAAAGGAATGAAAAGGAAAGAAGCGAAGGTGAAATCTCCAGTTGAAAAGAAAGAGAAGAAACTGAAATCCGCACATGATGCTATGGGTAAGCTTTTTCCCGCACACTTCACTCTGTGAAGGGACTATGTTTGGTTTACTTAATGCATTTTTCTCATCTTTGCCTTTCATTCTCATTAACATTTTGCCAGTGTTCATCTCTCATTAAAATCCGTGGAGGATGGCAGGGTGGGTCGGGGAGGCAGGGCAGACGAGTGCTGACAGCCCCCGCCTGCATCTCACAATGAGAAAACTGAGGCTCTGGGTGGATAAATTGTTAGTGAGTGGCTCCAGTTTGCACCGAGGTCTGTCCATTCAGAGCTGAGCTCTGTCCACCGGACCACGTTTTGTCCACACGATTAAACGCGGAAGTTGGCGTGATTCTCGTTTGCTGCTGCTGCCTGTGACTCAGTTTCTGCGTTGAGAACCTTCGCCATGTGGTTAGGGCCTTTTTGTTCTTCAGGATGAATTCAGTTTGAAGCCAGTTTTACCGTAAAACTTGGAATTTGTGAGGACTTGAAGATGGAATACTTGGTTTTTGTACAAACGAAGTTAGAATATTTTTGAGTTCATGTGTATGATGGATTATTGTAAAATATGACTTCCTCTAACCTGGCTTGTTTTACTTCCTGACAGATGTTTTATGTCTTAGCTGTTTGATGTGTACGCCATTCGAACCTAAATGTCCCTTACTTAGACTATTTATCAATGGGTGAGAGTTGCTCTCACCTGAAATAGCATGGTGCTAAGTCCTTACTAAGAAATAAGAATTAAGTACTGACGGAGTCATGTTCCTCCCGGCACTGTATTCTGCATGCATGAGGTTTTAATTAGTGTTTTTTTTAATTGGCAAATTCACCTGGCTTCCAGAAATTAGATTTTAAATGCAGGGATTTTAGAGATAAACCTGTGTGTTAGTTTCCAATTACTGCTGCAAAAATTTATCACAAATTTAGTGTCTTAAATCAACACACGTGTATTATTTGACAGTTCTGGGGTCAGAGGTTCAACGTGGTTCTCACCAGGCTAAAACCAAGCTGTTGGCAGAGCTGCCTGGAGGCTCCAGGGGACCGTCTATTGTGCTGCCTTGGCCCACTTCTGGAGGCCGCCTGCTGTCTGTGGCTGGTGGCCCGGTGGCCCGGTCCCCCGTTAGAGCTGCTGTGTCACTCTCCTTCCGCTCCTCACTGTCACCTGCAGGGACCCTCGTGAGGACGTTGGGCGCGTTGGATAATTCAGGATCATCTGTCTTAGGATCCTTAGTTGTGTCACACCGGCCAGGTCCCTTGGCCGTGTCAGGCGGCACAAGCACACGTTCTAGGAATCAGGGGACAGTTATCTTCAAGGGGCCACTACCTGGGATATGAAAAACATTTTCCACATTAACGATGTGGAAAAAGTCTCACATGAATACAGTTTATATTTTCTTTAGATGTTTGCTTGTGCTTGCTCACCAAGGCACTCTAAAAACTAAAAATGAGATTCCAGTTTCCAAGTTCGAACTTACCACTCGAAGTCTTCTGTATACCCCGGAGCAAGTCGCTTCGTAAGAAAGTTTACTGTATAATACTAGAAGTAGAATTTAGCTGCTAAGGAGTGGGATTAAGGATTCGGGGAGTGAGGTGGGTGGGGTGGAGCTCAGCAGTAGAACGTGTGCTTCGTGTGCACCAGTTCCTGGCTTCAATCCCCAGTACCTCCATTGAGGGGGAGAAAAGGGTACAACTCAATTGTTTTAAAAAAAAGAGAATTTGGAAAAGAGGATTATATTTCTAGTCCCATTAGTAATGTATTGAGTGACCTTTGAGTGTCTCTGACCCGGCACATATTACAGTAGAAAATTTCGAGAGCTGTGGTGTCCGAATCAGTCAGAATCTCGGTAGCCACCAGCCACAAGTAGCTCTATCACATTGAAGTTAATTAAAATTAAGCAGAATTTAAAGTCAGCTCCTTGGTTTTGCGAGGCGAGCCGCACACCAGCGCTCATGACTGCGCGCGGCCGAGGGCTGCCGCGTGGGACAGCGCAGAATCCTCGGCGCTGGCGTTGCCGCGGGAAGGCCTGGCCGGCGGGGCCGGGGCGCGCACGTCTGCGGGCACCGCGCAGGCGCCTCGGAGCCGAGCGCCGATGGGGGCCTTTTTTTTCCCACCTCTCTTCCCTGCATGTCTCGCCCCATCGAAAACAAAACAAAACCCAAAAAACCCAAACCTACTCCCATTCTGTGTTCATCTTCTGGGTAATTAGGTGGGTGCCGCTGATTCCCTCCCCTCCAGCACCACCTCCCCCTCCGCCCAGTCTGCAGCTTTTCCCTCAGCCTCCCCCTTACACCAGGGGCTCATCACCTCTCCCCTGCACTGCCGTGGAGCCGTCCAGGCCTTCTGCTTTTCCAGCGCCGCCAGCAGGCTGCTGCTGGACGCACAGACGTGTGCAGGGGGGACGCTCCCCCCGTGCACGCCTCTGCAGGCTGTCCCCTCTTCTCACGATGCCTTATACACAGCTCTTCTCTGCCCTCTCTGTTAGTGACCAGCCAGTGACTGGGCCGTACAGTCCCCGGGAGCGGGATACTCTCATCCTGGAGCCTAATAACCTGTCTCACTGGGACACTCCGGTGAGACACTACCATGTAATGGTTACAAGTGCGGACGCTGGAGTCAGACTGGCCTCCAGTCCCAGCTCAGACACTAGCTGTCAGACTAGCCTCTCTGTTTCCTTATTGGACAGAGGGGTAGTAATTTCTATGTCCGAATTGCTTCAAGGGCTCAAGGTGACGTTCATGACATGCTAACCAACCCACGGCCTATGAGTGCTTGTGCAAGACGGCTGCTCTCAGGCTCTCAGTATATGCTTGTTGATTAACGAGAGTTGTTCGGATTTATGCTACAGCCTTTTTCATTGTTTATAAGATTATGTAACTTTATCATTTTCACAGACACATGCTAGACTTCCTCTTCCTCTATGACACCTTCTTTATGTGTATTTTTCAAAAAAGCAACCTCAGTAGGCTCTGCCCCAGCTGCCGTCAAGTCAGAATCTCGGCCTTCACCAAAAAAGGTTTCTCCTTCAGAGGCCGCTAGGAAGCCGTTACAAACACGCAGTCCTTCAGCTGAAAGCAGGAGACCCAAGTGGGTCCCACCAGGTATGGTGCATTTATTTACTGCTCAAGGGCAGGGGTCTGGAAAATTCCCACTGGCAGGTTTTTCTTCCTGTTTGTAAATGTTACATATGAGTACTTCCTTGTATTCCATATTCTTCACAACCAAGCTTTTTAGCTGCTACATTTATTAATCACTTATTATTCCATTATATTTGAGCATGCAAGTTGTTTATGTTTTCATTGTTATCAAGAAGGTTGCAGTAAGCACAGACATCGTTCTTTTAGAAATCTGTGGGCACATCCCTGGCTATTTTCTTAGGATAAATTCCAGGTAGTGGATTACTGTGAAACAGTACCAGCATTTAAGATTCCTGATACATGTATTTGGCAACAAGTCTGTTTGCTCAAGCTGCGCTGACCTCCGTGGGAGGTCCCTGCGTGGGAATCCCAGCGTTTCGCAGGCTCCACCCCCAGCCCGTCCACACTTGGCCTCTCTGTTTTCTCTTGCTCCACAGCCAAGTCTCCCTGTTCCTTCACCCTTCTTGACATTCCTGAAACCTTGATCCAGGCCCTGTTTCCTTCCGACCCAGACTGTCGTGGCTTCCTGCCTAGTGCTTCTCCGCTTTCCTCATCCACCCACATGAGCGCTCTTTGCGTGAAATTGATGCATTTTCGGTTTCTTAAGCACGGTGTGTGCATTCTTCTGCCAGAGCCCCTCTCCAGCTTCCTCTGTCTGGGATGGCTTTCTTCATTTGTCCCCTCTCCTTTTCTGAGTCATTCCAAGTCTCCTTGGGCTTATTTCCTTCTTTTCAGGAGCACTCCTTGATTGGTTCACAGTGGCCATTCCCCTAATGGTAACTAGGTATCAGTACACAGATTTAGGCCTGAGACTGCATGCTTGCTTAATTCCTGAGTCTTCATTTCATCATCTGGGTCATCTTTAAAGTTTTATTGGATATAAAAATTCTAAGATTTTAAGGAGGACTTAAAATGTTTTTGGAGAAGGAAAGGAGGAGGACTAGTTATTGAAATAGTGATGCTGTGCCATTTAAAAGCTAATCCTTAGTGTATTTCTTCTGAGAATAATTCGTGATTTTTCAGCAAAAGAAATTTAAAAGAATTGATATATTGACTATAGAAATTTGAAGGTAGCATAATCAAAAAGATAACAAGGACATAATGGGCTTAGGGATAAAGAGTCAATGTCATAAAACATGAAGTGCTTATAGATTCACTGTGTGAACGAGCAAGGCAGGTGATGGCGAGCGGGGCCTGGGGCACCGGCGCTGTGCTCGGCCCCCTTCACAGTCCACTTGTTCACAGGCAGGATTATGGTCCTGGTATTTCCACAGCTGGTGTTTTTTGAAGAGAAGTCAGAAATCCAGATTTTAATGTGAAGTCTATTAGTTTTTAAAAGTTGACTTTGTGTGGACCAAACAGTATATCTGAGAGCAGGATTTAACCCTCAGGCTGCCAGCTAGTCACCTGTCTTATATGAATACTAGAAGACCAGCAAGATTCCAGTGGGAAAATGAGCCAAGGACACAAACATACCACTGCCCCCAAGAAATACAACTAAAATGGATGTGAAAAAAATGGCAGTCTCACTGGTAATCAAGGAGATGTGAATTAAAATAATAAAGTTATTTTATACCTCTCAAGCTAGAAAATAATAAAGCTGTATCGACTAGTGCACTCTGGGCTGTGGGGTAGCAGGTCTAGTTACTTATTTTACAGTTATAATCCCTTTATAGGACAGCTGGACAGGAGCCATAAAAATAAATCTATCTTTTGACCTAGGAACTACTCTTGGGAATTTATTTTTGAAAAGAATTCAAAACAAGAAAAAGTAATAAGTGGTCAGGTTTTTTTATAGCCATTTATAGAAAAGTGGTGAGAAACTAGAAACAACCCAAAAAGTGTGTTGTAGGAATTTGATCAATATATAGCACGTACGTGCAGTTAAGGGTGATAAATCAGATGGCTAGAAACATGAAAGTGTTTGTAAATATTTATGTGGAGAAGGTTCACACAGGTGCACTTACTATGGCTAATCATGATCGACTGCGGACACTTACGAGGATAAATTCTGAAATGTAATACTTGTCGGAAATAGTTGCTACGTTAGAGTGGGTAGCATAAAGGAAACTAGCCTAAGTAAATAAAAATGGTATTTGTCATATTTAAAGTTATTTAATATTTGAAAAAATAGATTCTGTAAGAAGTACTACTTGTAAAAGTTGCAGAATTTTAAAAAATGCATCAGTTTTTTGCTACTACTTTAGAGATATAATTGTGTGCATTTTTATATCCCTTTACAACCAGCGTTCTTTGCTCCCAACTTCCCTGTTCAGCTTTCACGTTTAAAGTTTTAGTGTCATTACCTTAGCCTCTGGAGATGTTTGAAAATATGCAGTATTACGTATGTTCTGCTCTTTAGTACTTGCTTTTGATCTCATATATAACTTGATGGAACCTGCACAGCAGGATAATGCTGTATTTATTTGTTTTTCGTCTCTTCTGTTTTATCAGCTGATCTTTGCTGTGAGGTTTCTGTCATTGTCAGTATCAGGTGATGTGTTTTTTCCAGCCGTATCCGGAAGCAGCAGTGGTGGCCGCAGCCCACTGACAGGCGTGTCTGTGAAGTCCCCAAATCAGAGTCTTCGCCTTGGCTTGTCCAGATTAGCGCGAGTTAAACCTTTGCATCCCAGTGCTGCTAGTAGCTGAGCGAAGTAGCAAGCGAATGGCTGATTAAGAGGCTCAATTTTATAAGTGTGTTTATATTTGTGTTATATTTGAGGAGGGTATTGTAATATAAAGGAATCCTTCAATGTCATATAAATTATCTCTATGCCTTTGTGATTATATACTTCAGTAAGATGTTTGTTCATAAGAATTTTTACCTTGTCATGTCATTTCCCTCTGGAGCTCACATTCTCTTTCCCTTGTATGTATATAGTAAGTCATTGCCATTGAGTGGCTGTCAGTTTGAGGTGGAGGATGTCCACATTACATGCTGGTCTTTCCTAGTAACACGATGCTTGTCTCTGGCTTTGTCTAGTTTATGGCAGCTGAACTTT